CCAGAAATGAGCACTGCACACTAGGATAGCCGACCCCTTTAATTAAAAGGCACTTGGCCATCTCTGGACGATATACCTGCATGGAGGCCATACTGGTGATAGCTTGGTGAGGATTTTGCTGTGCTTTCAGGCAAAGCGTACCTGGAACACTGCTTTAAATAAATACAAATCATATATTTTTTCCTATTTTATTCAAGACTCACACAAGTGCACGTATGTGAGTGAATCCATACATAGCATTCGTTCAAGTGTGAAACCAAACTTTGCGGTGCTTCAAGATTTAACAATCATCCAGTTAAACTAAGCAAGTCTAGCATCTCTGTCCTTTCATTAGACCAAGGACGCTTTGGTGGCAGAAACATTTCTCATTCATCACTGTGTCACTGTAATTCCTCACATGCTTGTTATTTGTTAGATGGCGCTTCCTCTAAACGTTCACTAGGGATTGTGTTACCCTCCTGGTTTTGTTCTGGAGAAAATTACACAAAAGGTCTTTTTCCTCTTTACAAAATGAAAGAATGTTAGAACTCTGTCAAAACTGTAAAAGATATAAAGCGAAAAAAGCAAGGTGCAAGACAGATTGTACAGGTCAGTGTGCCACCTTTTGGGTAAGGGGGAATTAATATGTATTAGTAGAGTAGTTGCTTGTATATGCATAAAGTCTGAAAGTACGTGCTAAGGATAAGGGGTGGGGAGACGGTGGATGGGAGATGAGGATGGAAGATCTTTCATTATACAGAGTTTTAAGCTTCTAAATTTGAAATACATGAATATCACCCAAATTTACATTAAAAACAGAATAGGCCAGGTGCAGTAGTGTGTATCCGTAGTCCGGCTACGCTGAGGTGGGAGGATCGCCTGAACCCAGACGTTTGAGGCTGCAGTAAGCTATGATGGGGCTACTGCCCTCTACCCCAGGCGACAGAGGGAGACCATGTCTTAAAAAGAAAAGAAAAATATCCTGGGACATTAACAAATACAGTAGTCATGAATTATAAAATTAAGTGCTGATTATTTTAATTATCTCCAAGAAATTTATTAAAATAGAAATCATTCTATTTATGCCATCCTTTCCAAATCTTTATGTAAAGCCCTTTTAATGGGATGTCATAAAAGTAGATTTTGCTCATTGCCCTCATGTTCCCTTCTTGAAATCCCATATTTCGCATTTAAAAAAATCAAAATTAAAAAACAAAATATGATTTCTGTAACAAAGTTACAAAACAAAGTATGATAGTATGATCCCTTTGTCAGTTCTAATTTTAGTAACCCATCCTACAGAAATATTAGTATACAAAAGATATATGTTTAAGGCTGTACTTTGCAGCAGCAATGTAATAGCAAAAACCTGGAAACAAATGTCGGTGGACAGGTTAAATAAATCATAGGGCAGCAATACACCAGAATACTGGCAAAAGTAGTTAAAAAGAATGAGGTAGATCTAGATATGCTAGCACGGAAAGATGTCCCTAATTACCTAGCCCAAAAACAAAACAAAAAACCCTGAGAAACGCTATACTGAGAATGGTTGAACTTATGTGTGTACATGTACATATGTACATAAAAAATATGGTATATTTATTACACAAGTAAAAAGTCCAAAAGAATATCAAACTGTCCAGAGTAGTTATCCCTGGGAAGTGAAATCCCAGGTGATTAGGAGTTTAGGTGGATTACTACCACCTGACTTTATAAACCGTGCATACACACACACACCATGCGTACACACAACGTATGCCTGTGTAAGCATAATTTATAATTAGAAACAAGAGGCAGGCCGGGCGCAGTGGCTCACGCCTGTAATCCTAGCTCTCTGGGAGGCCGAGGCGGGTGGATCGTTTGAGCTCAGGAGTTCGAGACCAGCCTGAGCAAGAGCGAGACCCCGTCTCTACTAAAAATAGAAAGAAATTAATCGGACAACTAAAACTATATAGAAAAAATTAGCCGGGCATGGTGGCGCATGCCTGTAGTCCCAGCTACTTGGGAGGCTGAGGCAGTAGGATCGTTTGAGCCCAGGAGTTTGAGGTTGCTGTGAGCTAGGCTGACACCACAGCACTCACTCTAGCCAGGGCAACAGAGTGAGACTCTGCCTCAAAAAACAAACAAAAAAACAAGAGGCAAACATTTTCCTAGCTTTTTTTCCAGGTGGTGAGCATATAAGGAAATTTCATTTTCTACGTCACTAATTTTATGAATGTGCTTATATTGCTCCATTACTGCTTTTCAAAACCTTTCTAGTACCTATGCCTGTAATCAGCAATTCCTCGCATTGAACTTGACAGGAAGCACTTTAAAAGAGCCAAGCGTTCTTTAGGGAGTTTTCAAGTGAGCATCTTCACTCCTGTAACACTTAGTTTGCGTGTTTCTGAAGTCACTGATAAGAATTTTTCTTTTTGAGTCAAGGACCTCTCTCTGTTGCCCAGGCTGGTCTCAAATTCCTGGGCTCAAATCCTCCTACAGCCTCCCAAGTAGCTGGAATTACAAGCACATGTCACCGCACCTAGCCTCACAGCTTTATTAAATAGTATTCCCTTGACACCAAGATCCTTCCGGCCCGATGCCACGCACCCAGGGTCTCTTGTCTTACGGCACACTGACCTGTTACACTGAGATGACCTACCCCCATGTCTTCAAGAAGGGCATTATTAGCCACTGACTTCCTTGTACTTGATTTCTGCATGCAACTTTAAAGCCCATTTTCAAAAAGCACTCAATGCTTATTTAGGAACCTTAGGATGCCTGTCATCAAGTGAACGTCTTCAAGACACTATTCAAGGGTTTTTTTTTTCCTTATACAGAGGCCACCCTGGTCTGAGCGTTAAAGTCACACAAAAACTAGCAAACAGGCAGTGATTAGCAGCCTGGTGGCTGGGTTTCTTGGGGTTTATGTTTTTGACCTATGTGCTCATTTGCACGGGTGAGTCACGGAAATTCAGTTTATCGTACATTAGAAGCATTTATGTCAACATGAAGTAAAAACTCGACAGATTTGCAAATTAATTTTCTCAAACTTCCTGATCCTTAAAGCTGGTTTAAACCTGTTCACTCTAACCTGCTTTACATCACAGAATTATTCTAGAGCACAGGTTATTCATGGGTTTCCTAAATCTGAAGGGATTTGGGGAGGGAGTGGAGTGTCACTCTTGGGGAAAACAATCCCTATTTTCAAGTCCTTTATAGGACTGGATTTGAGGTGTCCACCACCTGGCTCAAACCAGCTTCCCTGCAACTCCCACCTTTGGTTCCAGTTAGTAACATTTAATTCCTTACCAGTACCATCTGATTGGGCAAATGCCACTGAACACTTGTGCACATTTAGACCAGAGACCAAATGTTTAGCCCACCAATTAGGTTATATGAGAAGCCTTTCTCTATGGCCACCACATAAAAATTGAAAATTCAAGTTCATTTTGACAGGTTAATTTCAACATTAACAATTCCATGAAGTTTTCATTCCTTAATTCCTATACTACGCTTGGCTATTACACTTTTAATACACGTTACCTGCCACATCCTTTTTAACACATTGCTGTGCTAGAAAAAAAAGCTTTCCCCTTAGGGCCATGGTGTTTCATTATGAAAATAGAATAAAAACTTTGAAAACGAAATGACTCTAATGCAAAATTTTTCTGTGCACCGAGTTATAGGCAACTTGAAGAATAGTTGTGGCTCCCAAGGTGAAGACATCTATTAGACTTCACGAGGCCCTGGGCTCAAACCTAGTGAGTTAAATACAACTCATGTGGCACTTAATGTATTAAAATCTGACCAAACGACTTTCTACACAGCTCAATATGCATTTACATAGAGCTATGTATTAAAGCTGACTCTTATGTAGATCCCTTCCCATCCCTCCCACCTTTTTAATACCTTTCTGCTGTTGCAGAAACTTTCCCACTCAGTTACCCACCACCCCCAAACCACTTTCAAAATCAACAGCTTACAGGTACATCCGCATATGAAAAACGCTTTCACCTCTGAATACCCTGGTTTTTATTTGTACCCGCCTGCTACAGTTCTATATAAAGACCACCTTTCACCAACATCTTATCTCATAGTCACCATGAATATCTGAAAAACTGAAAACTCTGATCCCTCCCCCACACCCCAATATAATTCAAAAGAATCTCAACTTTAAGAAAAACAAAAATCACACCATTTGGGAATGCAACAACTTTATTGAAACAAAAGTGCAATGAAATCTGTTGAAAGCTTAAACTTAGACACCTCCCCTCAAGCGCAGGACCAAATGCAGGGTGGACTCCTTCTGGATGTTGTAGTCAGACAGGGTGCGCCCATC